GAGTTCACTTTGTAGCCCAGGTTGGTCTCAAACTTGCAGTGATTCACCTGTCTCAGTTTCCTGAGTGCTGGGATTACAGGCATGCACCACCATGCCTGGCTTCTTCTGAATTTTCTACTTTATCGGAGTATAGGTTTTCAAAGAAGTTACTGATGATCTGGATTTCGGTAGAATCCATTGTGATTTCACCTTTTTCATTTTTTATTGCATGGATTTGGATCTTTTCTTTCCTTGTTTTGGTAGTATTGTCTAAGGATTTGTCTATTTTGTTTAATCTTTCAAAGCTCTTTGATTCCTTATAATTTTCATATCTCAATTTCATTAATTTTTCCTCAGATATTTATAATTTTCTTCCCTGTAGTAACTTAGGATTTGGATTGTTCTTGTTTTTCTAGGGTCATGAGGTGAACGATTATGTTATTTATTTGAGATTGCTCTTTTTCTGATGTGGGAATTCTCTGTTACAAACTTTCCTGATAGGACTGCTTTCATTGTGTCCCAGGTTCCAGTATGTTATATTGGCATTATTGTTTAATTGTGGGAACTGTCTAATTTCTTCTTTAATTTTCTCTGTGACATATTGATTATTCATGAGGGTATTATTTGATTTCCATGTGTTTGCATAATTTCTGTGATATCTTATGCCACTGATTTCTAGTCTCATTGCACTATTTGATAATATTCATGGAATAATTTTGATTCTTTTGCATTTACTTCATCATACTTTATGGGCTAGTATGTAGTCTTTTTTTTTTTTTTTTTTTAACATTTCATTGAAAGCATTTTAGTGACCTTTTGGACAGAAATGGGATTTATTTGCCAGGAAGGATGAACCCATCATACTTCTGCTGGAACTAGTGTTTAGCCTCCCTGCTGATTTGCTGATTCTGTGTTTGGCCCCAGTGCAGGCTGCCTGCCCTTCTTGTCTGAGTTGCTGAAACCTGGCCTACCCAGTACCACATGGAAGTCCAGACCATAGACACCAATGCTTGGGTCATATTTGATGCCCAGATCAATGTGTTCCTGGATCCCAAAACCAAAGTTTCCAGTATCAGAGAAGTTATTTTTCCTTAATTCATACTCTTGCATCTTTAGTCCTTTCTCCAAGATTTCTTCTACCTTGGCCCCATGCAGTAAAAAACAATCTTTTCATTTTTCCTGATACCTGAGGATCTGACAGTGTGTTTAGCGTTAGAAAATACTGGGATCTGGCCTGTGAGCTGCTGCAACAGTGTGGCTGCTCTGGTCAGCCTGTCTCCACTCTCCCTCACACAAATGTTAAGAGAGAGCTTGTGGATGCAAAGTTCCTGCATGGGGTTCTCCTTTTCACCTTGATCTTGTGCCATGATGGAGAACAGAAGAGCATGTGGTCTATTTTGGACAAAGACCCATATGTTGCTGAAAAGAACGTGTATTGTGTTGTTTTTGAATGGAACACTCTGTAGATATTTATTAAGTCCATTTGTTTGAAGGTTTGGTTTAACTCTGATATTTCTTTGTTTTTGTCTAGTTGATTTGTCCTTTTGTGACAGTGGGATATTGAGGTCCCCCATTACATCTGGGGATGACCCGACCGGCAGGTACAGCCAACGTGAACCCTAGAGGGGGAGTGGGGATTATAAAGGGACAAGAGACACGAAGAATGGAGA